GGCCAAAGGGCCCTTATAGAAACCTGTCGCAGTGAAAGTCGGCGGCTCATGTTGAATTTCACTGACTTTTGGCACGTTCGAAAGAAAGCGAGTGGGAGCTGGAGAAGAAGCTCCAAAGTCACACTGATGCACAGCCCAAGACTTAACCCCCTTTGCCTCAAGAATGCGTCTCATGCGCAGCAGCTGCCACACAGAAGCGGGATGCTCCCAGGAGCGCGTACGCCCGAGATCTTCGGGATGTTCAAGAATGAAATATCGCTCAAGTTTCAGCAATTTCTCAATCAAGGTCATGCACTGCAAAATGAAGAAGTTTTCCAACTGTGCACTCTGCTTAGCAGCGCCCTCTATAACCAAGGAAAACTGCACGGATGCACAGAGTTTCTCAATGGTTTCGGCCCGCCTCCATCTGCACTGGAATTGTACCTAGCTCGACTCCAAGTGGAGCCAGGCGGTGACATGATTACCACGTCCCATTTTCCATCATCCAATTCCCGAAAGACCTGGTCCCAAGAAGCTTGAATTGACAAGTCGAGTGAGCCTGGCCCTTTGATATCCACCTGAACCATCTCAAGTGCAATCTCTTGAAGATTGCAGGCCTGTTCAAGCAAGAAGCGGATGTCTCCTGCGCGGGAAATCCCTGCAAACAAGTGAAGAACACGCAGAGGAGGCCAACCACTTCACGACGGAGTTTCATCCGTCTGCTTCCGATCGCCATGCTTCTGAGACCAGTGCTGCCACTGAGGGTGGTTCGCATAGCAACCTTTAATCATGCACACATGCGCCATGCCGCAAGACCCATCACAGCCCTGGTGATTCTAAGCGAAGCAAATCATGCGGCCGTCCGGAGTCCTCCCTGTCGTTGGGGAACCACCCCCCTTCTTGCCATCGCCTTTGGTGCCGCCCTTCCATCTTCCTTTCTTGCCACCTTTGAACCGATTTTCAGCACCTTTGAAATCGGCCCGCTGCCACTTTGGTGGATCCGGCCACTGCTGCTGTGTGGAACCCCAAGCTGCCTGCCTCTTCCAATTCTGGGTATCACTCCAGCCACTGGACTGGCTCCTTCCGAGAGCAATCGGGGCAGCGAAGAACTGTTCCTTGATCTGCGCATCCTCAGTCACATCTTTGATTGTGGAGGCGATTGGGAGGTTGCCTTCATATTCGTATGTGAGGATAACAACCTACGGAGGTCGCAATGGCTGAAAATCATTCTTCGAAGAGCCTTTCCCAAGCACGGGCACCTGCAAGAGATAACACTTCTCCCCAAGAATGAAATTGACAAAGTTGAACCAAATCTCAGGACTCATGTCCTTGAAGATGGCGCGGTTCCTGTACTTCGAGGCCAAGAAACAGTACGCGGTTCCCTCAATGCGTAGCGCAAGGCGCAGCTCCTCGGAGTTCTGTGGCATCGTACCTTTGCCACGCTGCTTCACCAGCCTGATCTGCCCGGAGCTATCCACTGAAGTCTGCATGCTGAGATTCTTAGCCTTCTTCTCAGAAGTGACCTCGGAAAGAGGTGAAGCCACCAACTCTGATGACTCCAATTCTTCCATCTTCTGAGACATGTAATCATCACTTGGCTCAAAGGACTCCTCAACCTTGCCGAATTCGGCCTCGAAGGCAGTGCGCATCGCGATGCGCTCATTCTGTGTGATCGGTCGGGTCACACCTAGCACCCGAGCTTCCACCTTGAGCTCATTCTGCTTAGTGGAGTACTCCTTAGCGGCTTCCCAAGTGCTGACCACAGCAGCTATTGCTGCCCGATTGGATTGGCTATCTGGCTCCAAGCTCAAGTCGCCCTTGAGCGCCGTGCGAACTTCTCCCCTGCTGTCAGCATACGAAGCAAGACGCCTCACAGTCTTGAAATTCTGACAGATCCGATACTGCAGCCCCAACGGTGTGCCACACTCCTGAAAGAGGTGGACTAAATTATCATTGTCCACGTTTTGGGCCAAGCAATCAAGGGCTGCATTTCTGCTGACTCCTGCAGGAAGCAACTCTTCAGCCATGGCGGCAACTCCCTACTCTCGAGTTCCGGCCCTGGACAACAATCGGCAACTCTGGCCCGGGCAGCTCTGGCCCCTTCTTCTCTTTAAAGAACAATCTTCCACGTGAAAATCTCTCATGTCACAAACAGAGCCCTTTGTCTGGAAAGCAGCGATGCAATCAAGTCGCCTCATGATGTCCATCGATATCAAATCAAGATGACTTCCACTCTCAGCAGGTGCACTACTACAACAGCCGATGCATGCAAGACCGTGCCAATCTGACCCGGTTTCAGAGTCGCCTTATTTTGCAGCACAGCAGGCCTCAGTGATGTACGCGCGAAGCGACCAACCTATTCTTCAGCTGAGCCACTCGAACTCGATGCAACACCTTCAACACGCGGCCTGCAGAGTTTGCAGATGGCATCCACTTCGTCATCCTTAATTTCATGAACAGCCCTGGTCATCAAGCACCGCTCTTGCTTGACCGCACATCTGCCGGCCAGATGTAGACGCCTGAACCCGCTCCGAGATGTAGTAATGAAGTAGGGCGCATCAGGCAAGGCATCATCTGCATCGACGACGTACTTCTCCTTCGGTTCAGCTCCAAGGTCGCCTCGAGCCATAGCTACCCTGTCAGGTGTGAGGCTCAAAGAAGGGAAGCGCCCCTTCAAATGCCAGAACATGCCGAGAACACTCCAGGACATGACCAGATGCCGATCAACAGCCGTCGGATCAAAACCAGAACGTTGAGCAAAAGACCGCATCTCGCTCAAGATCTCTTCCTCGATATATCCGCCCTCTGGGCTTCCCTCCAGGAGTACTCGGCAGATCAGATTCTGTATGCCATGTATAATCTGTCGTGAAGTAAGAACATAATCCTGACTCCCATGCTCGCTGTAAGCCCAACACCCCAGAAAGTCGCGTCGGCCTTTATCTACACCCAGGGCGGCGGCAATGCTAGCAAGTGTGTGCCTGGGCGAATGACCTGTCCAAGACCTTGCCATTCCATCTGACAGCAGCTCAGTGCGCGAGTCCCCAACGTGCCTCCTGAAACGGGGACCCTCATTGCCGAAATGCATCGCCTCATCAAAAGCGCCACCTCGTCAGACTCGACGTACCCACGATGTGATATCTCCCAGCTGTCATTGAAAGAGGGGCAAGTAAAAACCCGATCCCAAGAAAACTCCTCCAACTTGAGCAGGGCAACGCCTTCTAGCAACCAATCGTACCCAGTAAGGTTTGCCGTCCTCGACACCTAGCCATACAGCTGCCCGACCTTACGTCCAGGTCCTGAAGTCTTTGTTTTTGACAGAATAGAGCGCAAACCCACCTGTGTAACGACGATGGTCGAGGGATCAATATTCTGCAAATCGTCTGCTCTAAGCGACCCCCAGCACATCAACAGAACCAGAAAACACATGAGCCTAAAGCCATCTGCCAGCGATTTCTTCACCACCGACATCTCAAGCGACATCAACATGGCCACCGTAAAGAGGGGCGCCCTTTTTACTGGACGTGCACCCCCTTCCAGGTCCATCGTCCATGCTTTCACTGCCTCAACAAGAATAGTATCTTCACTCAATCGCTGCTCTGGAGGGAACTGGCCCACTGTCTCCATAAAAGACAGTGTGATGAAAAGATCATTGGGAACCGATTTCCCCAGCGGCTTGAGCTCGTGACGCTCATCCAAATAATCCAAAACTTGCTTGACGTTCTGTGGCCAGGCCACCCTGTATGTCATCTGTAACCATTCTGAATAGCGACCCCAAGCTTGAGCCCTGTTTCTCAACGCCTTTCCACGGCACGTTCCGAACAAGCGAACCCATTGATCCGTTGTTCCACCCAAAGCTTCTATCTTTCCAACACATGGTGCCTTGATCTCCTTTAAGGATTCCACAATGACCAACGCCCACTTCTTGCGAAATGCAGCTTCAATGCTCTCACGGTTCGCTCCAGTGCCTCGCCTCTCACGAAGCACGCGGTCCAACTGGGCCACGCAGAGCTTAGTGTTGCTCCGCATCTCCTGTTCAAAAGCATCTTGCATCGAGACCGCAGGGCGCTTGATACTCACAGCCTGTGAAGACATTTAAGAAGCAAGGCACTTGGCACCATTCGGCCCTCTCCTAGCCCGTCGTCGAATCCAATCAAACATTTCAGTAGCCAAATCCCTAACACGCTGCTCGGTAAAACGCTCTCCCACAAGTTCGAAGACCACGTCAGTAGCATCATCATCGTTATCAATCGCCCCAGCAAACTGCAACTAGGAGCGGTAATGCCTTGTAGCTGCAGCATGGATCTCAGGGAAAGCAATGTCGAAACCCTCCCACTGATCTGCCATGGGTGCCCTACATGCGCTAAGAGTCCCCAGACCCACTACTGCAACTTTCAAACTCTACCCGCTTGAGAGAGCGAGCGCGGACATACATATCATGTCCCTCACGAAAAGTGAAACTGGAAGTCAAGGTAGAAACAACTGCCATCTTCATGAAAAGGCTGTCGCAGCAAGAAACATCTTGGAAATGCGTTTGCATGTTCCCAAACGGTTCTCGGTTCAGACTTTTCTCCCCAAAACGTTTTAAAGGACAAACTTCCCGGGAAGACCCGGTGAGCGATGATGATGGCGGCAATGGCGATGAAGGCGATGAGGGCGATCGTGGCGATGGTAGCGATGGTTGCAATTGGTGCGCTGGCGTGGCGATGATGGCGATGATAATCGTACTGATGTCGATGATGATGGTGACGACCGTACTGGAGACGGTTGCGATGCTTGCTTGTCTGGCGGCGACAATGAGGGACGATTCTAACGGCCATTGCCATGATATGCACTTTGATGACGAAACGACCGGAATGACCAAATCAAAAACAAAAAAGTTGACCAATACAGCGATGATCATGACGACGAAGATCCTGACAACATAGAGAGGGATAAGACGGGATGATAAGGACGATGTCAGTTTGAGCAGTTGGTCTTCGTATCCTCCTCGGTGAAGCTCGACGCAGCACTGAGGCCGCCACTCGCGGGATAGGTCATCAACTCCGGAGGCAGCAGGAAGGCCTCGGAAAAGACGATGTCTGGGATTACGGCAACTCCACAAAAGAATCGAAACCGTGATTCTCACAGGCTACAAACCGCCTGCAAGACTGCAAGACAGACTGTAGGGGAAGATGTGAAAACATTGATTCGACATGGTTAGATCAAACAGGACCAGATTCCATCTCGCGGCATGCCGTTACATGAGACCCAGACTGCCACTGGACGACTTCACGAACGAGGCGACCGAAAAGCAGCAGAATAACAACAAAACAGCAGCCATGGAGAGGTGTCATCACGACGTCTATGGAAGTGACAAACGCCTGAAGCTGCCCACTAAGCGACTCTGCCCTCACATCGCTGGAGTTTGAATCCAAACGTCTGACGACCACAGCCTCGGCCTAGCTCTCATCGCGCGTGCTCCCTGCATCCGTGGAGCTCCGGGTGCCGCGTAGCGGGGCCTCCCAGCGCCAGCGCCCGGAGCACCCGGCCTCGGCCTTCGCTATTTTTGCTGTTGGAGCTGCTGCGGGGAGCGCGGAGGCGGACCCGGTCCTGAAAGATGCGGTGATCTCGGGGATGTGCGGAGCTGCGTCCTGCAGGAAGAAACTTCGCAACGTTTGGCGACTCGTCTTGCGCACTCTGCGAGTCCTCTGATTGAGTGATGCCACCTGCAAATTCGCGAACAACTTCCCGCCGTACCGGTACGCCTTATAGCCTTATAGGCACTGCTTGCGGTTGCAAATGCCACCTGGCCTTTCTGGGTGTTGATGTAAGCCTCAGTCGGCTTACTATCACACTGACCCCGAAGCGACCAGAAGGGGACTCGTGCACTGAGCCCCTGGCCGGCAGCCCACAAGCAAGGCGCTCTGCCCTTCAATCCGGCACTGTCAACGCCAAAATGTTGTCTCAACGGCGAGCGTCCTATCGGCCTGCGTCGCGGCGGAGGAGTTCTTGGCGGCGATGCCTCCTGAAAGGATCTTTCGAAAGGCCGCAAGCAAATGCAGATGCTGCGACAAGACTCAAGCCTGCCACTCGCTTTCTCCCACTCCATCAGTCATCGACATGGTGCGCTGGCAATGCCGACTGACCAGACTGTCCCGGTGAAGTCTTGATACTCTTAGAAATTGACGCATGGTGCCCGGTATTCCGATCCATGAGGCTCTGATCCTACACCAGAAACGGCTCGCGAAAAGAAACAAATACAGAGCACAGACCACTGCCACAGCACATGTCAGTCTTGGAGCCCAGCCAATGCCAATCTTTTTGTTATCATCCAACATCTTTGGACAAAGCTCGGCCTGATCTGGGCAAGCCGCTGAACTCAACGGCGCTTTGCAATGGTCTGAGAAACTCGCTCTCCACAGAAGAGAGGAGCTAAGCCCGGCTGCGCACAGCGCAAAAAATAAGCCAACAGCTGCCGGGCTGCACATGACGCTTCCTGTTCCATGCCAACCAAACTCACCCAAACACGAAACTCTGGGGCTTGCAAGGTTACATGGCGAGCAGAGCTGTTGAATTCTGTCCGCTGCCCAACGAAAACAACCTAATGCGCGGCGAGAGGCTTCGTTGAAAAGCTCACTGGTTGTGTTTATGCCGTCTATGTGGAATGTAAGCACGACAACCGTGTATTTAGGATACGAATGCGAAGACGATTTTATCCGAATCCGCATACGAAAGCTGACACAAAGGCGAAAAAGCTGCCAATACAACTTACAACAACTGCGAATTGGGTTCGAAAAGTCAACAAGCACTAGCTTCACATGTGCAACTGCGCATCATTCCTTACTTCATCGTGTGGAATGTATACGAGAAATACGGCACAAAAAGCATGCAAAACAAAAGTTGGACATGCTGATCGTTCACTCACTTCTGTTGTCCAGGCTCACGTACAACCGTATGTGGTCCACATATCCCTGCCAGCCTTGCAAAAAGACTCACCGTGCTGGAAGTTAAACTTTCACAAAGGGCGCTGAATGGCCCGCATTTGTCGTGCACCGTGTTTTGCTATTTCGTATGTGTATATGTATATGAAATACTTATGTATGCACATATTCACAATGAGTCCCACTGCACTGCAGGCCCAAGTTCGCATGGACGACTTGAGTACAATGTTGTGGGTGTGCTTGAAGTCTTTTTTTGTTGCATCCACATGACATGTCTAATCAACTACAACCTTCAGTCCAACAGTTGCTTGCAAGACATGATCGACAAATGTTTGTGGTGAGGTGCAGCTCTGGCTTTTGGGGTTTCGTAGGGGGGGAAATGGGGGTGGAGCAAACCCAAAAACCAAAATCTGTTTAGTGTGTGTTTTGTGTTCTTTTCTCGCTCCACCCAAACCACCCCCCTTCGGCCCTCCAAACCCTCGCCCTTCGCAGTCCCGAGACCGTCTTCCTTTCTCACGATGCCCTGGCTTTCACAGTTGACAGTGCCGGACCAAGCTCCCACCATTTGTAGGCCGGCCCATACTTTTCGAGTGTTTATTTGTATGGTGTCTCAAAGCTATACCCACCCACCCCCGCAGACACACGCACACACAGCATAGACCCTCACACACACGCACACACACGAATTCAAACATGCATCTGTATATATAAAAAAGCAACTTATTTCCAACTGTTAAGGTACAAACACCGCACACCATACATGCACAGACATATGATGACATGAGCATGCGCAGAACCTCGGTCCTCTCTTTTCTTGATGCCAAGCGAAGTATGTCACGAGAAGTCAAACATGACAATGTGGGTCACGCACACACCCTGCAACATGATGCAAATGCAGTGGACGGCAATCCGTCATCGCAACAAACCCCCCAGGGCGGGCGGGCGGGAAAAAAAAATCCGAGCTGCGCACAGCCAAAACTGCAAGAGACAGAAAGCATGGTCTGCACACAAAGAACATGCTGCGAGAATGCATTGCACACAATGGTCAGAAACAGTTTGGGAAATAAATGCTGTCTCGCAGGCGAGAAAGCATATTTATTTCCAACGTTTAAGGTACAAACACCGCACACCATACATGCACAGACACATGATGACATGAGCATGCGAAGAAGCTCGGTCCTCTCTTTTCTTGATGCCAAGCGGGGTATGTCACGAGAACTCAAACATGACAATGCGGGTGCACACACCCTGCAACATAATCCGAGCACTTGATTATTGAACCCCCCCCCCTATTTACAGAATTTTTTCGGCAGATGTCGGGCGATCTGTATGTGTTTCCTTTTCATAAAAGGATTTTCAAACACAACATTTGGGCAATTAAAAACCTTTACATGCGAAAACTCT